CCATTTTGAATAGACATGGAAATCTAGCTTGATGCTCTTTCCAATATTGTAGAACATCCATTTTCATGTTAGACTTAGGATCTAGCTTCCCCTCTTCTAGATATGTATCTAGCTCAGATTTTTTGATAACAACACTATTTTCACTAGACAAATCTATAAACTCCTACACAAATAACACAATTGCACAAATCACAATTAATTAATTAATTAAAACTTGAAAACATATTAAATAGAATTTGAAATAAATAAGTTTAAACACTTACTCCAAAGTAATTGATTTCTAGTGCATGAGAAGAATCTGCTTGAACTTGTGAAGAAGAAGTTGAAGTTGAAGTTGAAGTTGAAACCAAACTTATCCCATTCTCATATTCCTTAAATAACTGATACATCTTTCTCTTAACAACATTCACCTTGTTTTCCCAACCAATAGAATCAGACTTTTCATAACAAAAATTGATCAAATCAAACTTCAACCTAGGATCAAGAACAGCAGCAATAGAAAGAATAACACTGTAATCACTCCAATATTTTTCAAACTTCACTTTCATTCTTAATGCCATATCTTTAAGTATCAAATCATCACAATCTTCATGTATCTTCAACAAACGCTCTATTTTCTAAATTTGCATAAAATACAAATTGGAAGTAGGATAACAGGAACCAGAAAATAAATTAGTGATGATGTAAAAGGGAGCCAAGAAATCCCGAATCAATTCCCCTCTTTTCCATTCCTCACTCGAAGGACAACTGATGAAATTCTTGTCACGTAATACTAAACACCCAAAAGCTCGTTGATACTTCATCACACTGTCTAGCATGACATAAATTGAATTCCATCTAGTGGGGACATCTAATTTCAAGCCCACACTATCATCAATTCCTCCTACTTGCTCCACACACTTAGCAAACAATATTCTTCTTGCTTCAGATTGTTTCACATATTTGATACTTTCCCTAATCTTTTGAATACTAGTACTTGCAGCTTTCAACCCTTCTTGAACAATTAAATTCAAGATATGTGCAGAACACCGAATATGAAAGAACTCACCATCACACAACAAACTATTCTGCAAACACAAACGTTGTTTTAAAATATTTTGCATGCTATCATTTGCAGAAGCATTGTCTAAAGTCAAAGAAAATATTTTCTTATCAATTCCCCACTCTTTCAAAGAATCAAAAACTGCCCCGGCTAACTGTATACCAGTGTGTGGAGGCTCCATTTTGCAAAAAGCAAGAATCTTGCTATTTAACTTCCAATTCCTATCCACAAAGTGAGTAGTAATACAAATATAGCCTTCAACTGTATATGCAGTCCAACAATCAGAAGTTAAACAAATTCTGCTAGGAGTCCTACTCAATTGTTGTTTTAACTCCATTTTCTTATCAAGATAAACATTCCATACATCATTCACTGCGGTATTTCTTGTATACTCATTCACATCCGGATTACAAATTAAAAGCATCTCTCTAACTCTTCTATATTCCACAAAAGAATATGGAAGGTTATGTTCAATAATAGCCATTGCCATAGTCTCCCGTAAAAGTTTGTGATCAAGCTGCCTAGATCTCAACTTTCCTTGTGCATCTAACATCATTGTTCCAATATTATGATACTTAGGAAGAGCAACACATTTTGGAATATGACGTAACATAGAAGATGTTCCATACTTAATGCCACCAATAGTATATTCCTTTCCACAACCATTACAATTAGCCTTTTCTTTACCATCAACTAGTACAGGATTTTTAGTAAATGACTTCCAAACATCAAAATTACGGGTAAACGGGCCCAACCCGACAGGTTGGGCCCGTTTTGACAGCTCTAGTAAAAATAATTAGATACAAAGAGTAAAAAATTACTCTTATTCCTATTATAATGCATACACGCAAGATTTGTATTCACAACACAAGAATTCGGTCACAGTAATCATTAATTTGAAGTGCGTTGTTTGTGCATTTGGCATCTTCAATTTTTTTTTATTCCTCACGATAAAAGGATGAAGGTATGTAAATAATTAAATATTTTAATTCTTCAATTTTATTTAAAATTTTAAAATTATTAATTCAATAACTAACCCTAGTTAGGAATTTTTTCGATTGGTGAATAACAATCTAATTTCTTGTATTTTGATACTACAATTGCAATATCAATTAGTCTTAACTATTTTCATTATTGTTGTTTATGCATAAAGAAGTTTTTTAAAGTTAAAGTTGTTAAAATCTTACTTATGATCAACTATATTGTAAAAAAGACTCAATGGATTGGTGAATGATTTTACATCTAAATATGACCGAAGAAGAAGAAGAATGTCACTTTTCAAGTGAAATTTTAAATAATAAATTTTTTATAGACTATTATATATTTTGATACAATACAATATATATTTTTTTTTTTTTGAAGAAGAAAAACTAATTCATTAAATCATGAATAAGAGAGTCCACAAGAAAAGATGGAGGGGAATCAAACCATTCCCCGCAACCTGACACAGAAAAGGCCTCCCTAGCAACAATATGGGCGGCACTATTCGCAGATCGCTTTACACAGTAGAATTCTACATCTACAATCTCAGAAGCTAAACATTTAATGTCCTCAATTAAAAAACCGAAACTAGAATTAAAAGACTGCGAACGTAAAGCATTAAAAACAGTTTGACAGTCCGTTTCCACATCAACATCTCCCATTCCAGTAGCCTTTAACCAACTCAAAGCCTCTCGTATACTAAGTGCCTCTGCCTCTTTAACCATATAAACCCCCGGCAACCTCACATTCTTAGCAGCTAGAAAAATTCCATTATCATCTCTCAACACCCAGCCTACCCCCATTTCATTTCTTTCCTGCCTGAGTGCCACATCTGTATTCAACTTCAATCTCCCGTGCGTAGGTTTTGTCCAGGCCGCACGATCCGTTTGCTCCTGATTCGTTCGTGTTCCCTCATTCGCATTCCTCCAACTATCCAGGAACACCATAGTCCTATGCAGCATCACATTCATATCAAAAACCACTCCCTTCCACACACTATCATTCCTGCTATTCCACACACCCCAACAAGCCATTAGAAACTTAGGCAGAGAATCAACATCTAACAGATTAATAGCCCAAAAAAGCCAATCAGTTATACTATTACCAGCAAAACCATTGATTTGTGGCCATCCCAGCTTAACCCAAAGCCGAGTCGCTTCAGCACAGTAAACAAACAGATGAAGGGCTGATTCCTGCACACAACTGCACATATGACAAATCAAAGAGCATTCAACATTTCTTAATTGCAGAATATCACGTGTAGGGAGATAAGCAGAAGCCAACTGCCAACAAAAATTCTTCACCTTCGGGGGAATATGCAAGTTCCAAATTTTAGTCCATGGGCGATCATCCGCATCCACCAATGTGAGTTGCTTGTAACAAGATTTAACCGTATAAGCGCCCTTTTGATCCCATCGCCATATCCACTCATCTCGTGGCCTTCGAACACTAATAGGTATGTTTAAAATCAAATTAGCATCGCGAACATTAAAAACATCATAAACACACTCAATATCCCACCCAGTACCATGCATATTCATAAGAGAGGACACCGGAGCCGAACGGACCGAGGGATGCAAGTCTGTCTCCACATACGGATTATCATCAACCGGGAGCCATGGATCCAAGCCTATAGTAGTCTCACGCCCATCACCAACTGCCCTTCTACACCCCTCCTTCAAACAACTCTTGACCTCCAGCATGCCTCTCCATACAAAAGAAGGATTACTTCCCTCCCCAGCATCAAAGAAATCACAGCTAGGATAGTAACGTGCCTTAAACACGCGAGCCAACAGACTTGTGGGGTTTGTAAGCAACCTCCAAGCTTGCTTGCCAAGCAGGGCCAAATTCATCTCATGCATGCGCCGAAAACCCATACCACCATTCGCTTTGGGCTTAGACAACCCTTCCCAGGAACGCCACTTAATACCTCGTCCATCTCCAACCCTTCCTGTCCACCAATACTGGTTCATTATGACCTCTATCTCCCGACACATGCCAATGGGGAGCAAGAACACCGACATTGCATATGCCGGCATCGCCTGCAGCACATTTTTCAACAATACTTCTCTCCCTGCTCTAGACAGGAACTTTACATTCCATGACCGGACCCTAGACAGTATCCGGTCCTTCAAAAAACCCAGGATGGCCTTTTTCCTCCTCCCCACAAGCGAGGGCAGCCCCAGATATTTACCACTTGTCAGCCCCTCCTCCACTCCCAGAATATCCACCACATCATTCCGAATATTCTGCGGCACATTAGCACTAAAACAAGCTGCAGATTTATCATAATTAATATACTGGCCAGATGCCTTAGCATAGGTATCCAGAACATACCTCATCTGCACACTTTCCTCCACAGTAGCTCGGTGAAACAAGAAGGAATCATCCGCAAAAAGGAGATGAGAAATGGAAGGTGCCCCTCTAGCCACAGTGACCCCATGTACCAAACCCGTAGCCATTATTCTCTCAATCATTGCACTCAACCCTTCAGCCACAAACAGGAACAAATAAGGTGATAACGGGTCCCCTTGCCTGAGACCCCTACCTGGAATAATAGGCCCCACTTTTCGCTGCTCATGCCATATATGGTAACGCACTGAGGTGACCATTTCAAGTAAGATATTCACCCAGTGCTCACCAAATCCCATTTTAATCATCACTGCCTGAAGGAATTGCCACTCTACCCGGTCATAAGCTTTTGACATGTCAAGCTTTAACGCCACAACCCCTTCCCGCCCCTGTGTCTTCCTTCTCAAGTGGTGATGGACCTCATACGCCAACATAATGTTATCCGTAATTAAACGCCCTGGAATGAATGCACTCTGGGCACCTGAAATCAAATTCTGCAACAAAGGCTTCAAACGGTTAGCACATACTTTCGCTGCTATTTTATAGACTACGTTACACAACGCAATCGGGCGTAGATCTTTCATCGTCACCGGGACCGTCTTCTTCGGAATTAACACTATATAAGTGTCATTGGCCCTATGAGGTAGCTTAGCTGTATCAAGGAACCTTCTACAAAACGCCGTAACCTCCCCTCCCACAATATCCCAAAAAGACTGGAAAAACCCAGGGCCAAACCCATCTGGTCCTGGGGACTTATCCGGGTGCATTTGGAACACAGCGATTCGCACCTCCTCCATACTAACAGGTCGGAGAAGCCTAGCATTATCAGCACACGTAACCTTCGTAGAGATTGTATCTATGACTTCTTGAATATCCCCATAATCCGGCGAGAACAAACCCGTAAAATAACTCAACATGACATTATCCAAACCCGCCTCGTCCACCACCCAATTCCCATCCTCATCATGGAGCCTCTTAAAGGTATTTCTCCGCCGTCTAGCTTTCACGGAATTATGAAAAAATTTACTGTTCACATCCCCTCCCTTGTACCAAAACTCCTTTGCTCGTTGCTTCCAAAAGGAGTGTTGTTGCTCCAACAAGAAAATCAGTTTTTTCTCCACCACCTCATACTCACGCATCCGGGGTCCATCCCTGCGAGAACTAAGCAAATCCAAACGTCGTTTATTTTGCTCAATTCTCCGCTGAAAATCCTTATTATAAAGTCGGCCCCATCGTGCAATATCACGGGCGCAAGCCTCTACCCTGACTAAAGTGTCTAGCCCAACTGTCCGATCCCAGCTATGTGCCACAATCTCTCTACACGCCTCCTTCCGAAGCCACATATTATCAAAACAGAACCTCCCCCTTCTCTGTACTGTCGGCAAGCTTACAGGTGTTAAAATTAATGGTCGGTGATCACTATACGGGACTGTCAATGAGAGTGCCCGTACATCCCCAAACAAATCAAGCCAACTGTCGCTAGCCAGTATTCGGTCCAACTTCTCCTCAATCATTCTGTCAGTACCCCTGGACTTCACCCATGTATATTGATGTCCACCGAAAGGGACATCCTGCAAACCACTATCAGCCACCGCCTCCCTAAACCCATTAATCAACCACTCCGGATGTGGAAACCGTCCACGCTTCTCAAACTGGTCCAGGAGATCATTATAGTCACCCATAACTAACCATGGTAACTGTGATCGTGCAGATAAAGAGCGCAACAAATGCCATGCATCCCGCCTCCGTTGCCTCTCCGGATATCCATAAAACCCCGTAAAACGCCAACATGCGCCTCCCACATCGAGCCTGACTTCAGTATCAACATGATTACTTGAGTACCCCGTAACTCTCAAATCTACTGTATTATTCCATAAAAGGGCCAATCCACCACTATGACCATCAGCATCTACCGTAAACACACTATCAAAACCCAAATGTACTCGGATTGTTTCCATTCGCTGCTTATCCACAAACGTTTCAATCAAATAAACCACACTAGGCCTCTTCGAGCGAACCAAGTCCGCCAACACTTGAACTGCCGTCTGGTTGCCAAGCCCCCGGCAGTTCCAAGATATTATACTCATAACTCTTGGCGGGCTTGCACCGCAAGTCCCGCCTCCACTCCGTTTTTTGACAAAGTCGTATCAATGATCATACCATCATCACAAACTGCTGCATTTTCCTCACCCCCCTCCACACGCCTCCTCTTCTGTTCCCCAATAACCAAACCCGCCACTAATCCAGATGATGTGGACTGAATTTCTGCCGTATGTGCTCCTAATGCCGCAGCAATCTGTCCACCCCCAACATACACAGATTCACCACCACTTCTGTTTTGCGCTAGTGGGGCCTGCCGGGCAGTTACAATTCCAACGCTGCATGCATCATGCGTTAGAGGAACCTGCTGATTCGTTACAACTCCAACACCACTTTCATCTTGCGCCACTGGGACCTGCTGCCTCATTACACCATCTACATTCACCAACATAGCCGGAGACCTCCATCCCCTTCGCGCCACAGCCGACTCAGGTGGGATCCAACACTGGTTTATAGTGGGAGCACCCCGTCGCATTCCGACTCTTAACCACGCTCCATACGGCTTCTCCGCATTGGGATCACGATTCAGCGCCAAAGTACAGTGCTTATCTCCATGCCCAATTAACCCGCAAAGAAAACAAAAAGTAGGAAGTCGCTCATACCTGAAATCTATGAACGACCATGAACCCGTTTCCCTTCTCAGTTTCATCTGTTTCTTCAACGGTTTCGTCACATCCAATGAGACCCGCACCCGGTAGAAAGCCCTCATTGAGCCATCAAAATTACGTTCGTCCGCTTGCACCACCGTCCCAAGAAACGAACCCACAGCGTTAACTACTGCTTCCGATCGATAACCCATTGGTAGAGAGTGTATTTGGATCCAAAAATCTGCTTGGTTTAGTTGTATTGTGTTAGGATCATCCCCAGGGAGCAGCTTCTTCATGATCAATAAACTTTGTTCATACGCCCATGGACCGTCTTGTAATATACGTTGGAGATCCCCTTCATGATAAAAACGAATTAGATATCGTTTTGGCTGCAACTCACGCATGTTCACCCCCATAGCCGCTTGCCATACCCCTGCCATTGTATCTTGAAAAAACGGAAAACGAATCGGCCGATTCGTTACCAATCTTCCTACCGCGTAAAAGCTATCATCCTCGACGGCCTGTTCACCCACAACATGGGGTAATTGCACTGCGTTGTCTTCATCCTCCACATCCGCCAAAGTCAATCCCGCACACAAGTCTTCCACACTCCTCTCTGCCATTATACCTTATCGTCGCCTGGTTCCGACGGGAGTCCGCCGGCGAAAGCACTCAAAAACCGCAAAACCCTAGGAAACTCGCGAAAATAGCGAGAGAGAAAAAAAAATTTTGAAAATTGACTTAGTAATGATACAATACAATATATGTTTTATATATTTACAATTATATAAAAAGGGGGCCAATATTAATTTTCGTACAGGAACCTAATTTTCTTAGGAACGATCCTGAAGTCAATAATTCATAAATTGGAGTAGATTAACGATCGGAGTCTATAATTATAGAACCATAATAATTATTTCTAGATGTAAACCTTACCAAATTGACACTTTATAGGTATGGGTATTTGAAATGTGTTCTTGGTATTAGAACAAAAAAAGGACCACATTTAGAAGTTGCTTTCACAGTTTTTTTTAAATGATATTAACATTGTCACAGTTGATTTTTCTTTCTAAATCTTGAGTAAAGAAAAGTTGGTATAGCAACTACATACATTGACACTGAGGTGAAGTGTTCATTATTTTAGTGTAGTCATACTTTTTAATATTATTAAATTGATTAAAATGACACTACTAGGCCTTGGCATAGATATCATTTAAGATATTCTACCAAATGGCTTTAGACATCCATGAATAAATTTAAATTTCAAAAAAGAAATTCAAATTTTGGATCAGAAACATTAAATATTCATGGCAAAAATTTTGAGAGCCTTAATTTCCCCTAAACATAATAAAGAGTGAATTCCATTTTTGGTCCTACTGTTATAGGGGCGTTTTCAATTTTAGTCAATTTTAATTTTTTTGCCACTTTATAACCACTATTACAGGGCGTTTGGTTGGAGGGATTTTAAATTCCCTTCCCACTTAATTCCCACCTAATTCCAAAGGCCATTAAATTCCGTAGTTTGGTTGGAGGGAATTGCAATTCCCCCATTTTCATGGAATTAAAATCCCATGTCCCCCCTGGTATTTTAATTCCTGGGAAAAAAAGATAGTGATGAGTTAAAATTACCCCTTCCTTTTTTAACCTAAAATTAATGTCTAACAACAATAATGGACATTTTTGACTTTGTACTACTTATTCCCTTTCAATTCCCATGTATACCAAACATTGGAATTGAAATTCCCAGTAATTCTATTCCTGTCAACCAAACACTGGAATTTAAATTCCCACTTTATTCCCAGTAATTCAACTCCCATGGAATTACAATTCCTTTCCCACATAATTCCCCCCCTCCAACCAAACGCCCTGTTATTAAATGTGTTCCACTTTTAGTCCCACCGTTAGTATTTCCATCAAGAGACCGTGTAATCTAGGGGTATTTTGACCTTTCTTCTCATCCAAGACTATGTTTGACTAAAGAAATGAGAACATTAAACCTAAAACCTAAGAAGCCTCACCGGCCCATGTTGGAACGAACGAAACGATGTAGCTTTGGCTTCCCATTCTCGTTGTTCGAAGAGCCATCTTCGAATATCGGAGGAGGATGACGAAGCGCCTGGATTAAAAGAGAAGAGACAAACATAAAAGACCAAAATACTTTGATTATATGGCCTCTTGACGGAAATATTAACGGTGGACTAAAAGTAGAACACATTCAATAACAGTGATTGTAAAATGACAAAAAAAAAATAATAATAAAGTAGATTGAAATTGAAAATGCCCCTATAACAATAGGACCAAAAATGGAATTCGCTCCATGATAAATTATCAAAATTTGCGGATCTAAAATTTGTTGGACACGGTTCTAAAATGTAATGCAATTTGTTAACTATTAAAAATGTAATGCAGTTTTGCGGATCTAAAACTATGTGATGTGAATTTTTAATAGTTAATAAATTGTAAATATAGAGTTTTAAAATTACAAGGTGGACACGGTTCTAAAATATTCATAATTATGAATATATAGTTCAATAATTATGAACATAGAGTTTTATAATTATGAACATAGAATTATGAACATAGAATTATGAACCTAGAGTTCTATAATTATGTACACATAGTTCTGTAATTGTGAATATACAGTTCAATAATTATGAATATGAAGTTCAAAAATTATAAACATAGAGTTTTATAATTATGAACATAAAGTTCAGTAATTATGACCATAGACTTCTGTAATTGTGAATATGAAGTTAAAAATTATAAACATAGAGTTTTATAATTATGAACATAGAGTTCAGTAATTATAAACATAGAATGAGAAAAAGTGAACGAATGACCAAGGAGGATTCATGAGCAGAAGGAGGAGTAAGAGCGTAAGCCACTCGACAGGAGAGGAGCGACCGTGTCCACCTTGCAATGTAAACATGGTTCCACAGCATAACAATCAAAAAATTATACCATGGACCAGGGTCTACATTGCATTGTAAACCTTGACCCAAAAATAAATTTCAGATTATGTATCTATAGTTGAACCTGTAACTATCATATTATGTGTCAGCAATTATTAATTTATTTATTTACATATATGAAAACTGTTAACTGTAAGTACAAAATATGTTAACTGAAAATACAAAGGGGTCGTTTACTTCATTTCTCTGTTTTTCCATTTCCAGTTTTCCATTTTTCTATTTCTACAGTTTTCTTTCTCCATTTTTCCAGTTTTCCTCCTCCATTTTTTCAGTTTTTCATTTTTTCATTTTTCTAGTTTTCCTCCTCCATTTTTTTCAGTTTTTCATTTTTCCATTCCTCCATATTTTTATTTCTCTAATTTTATGATTTTATTAAATACACTCATCCTATATAGCATTTGTACATTTCTACAACAACAACAACAACAATAATAATTTAATAATAATAATAATAATAACAATAAATAATAGTAATAATAATAAGAATTTAATAATTATAATAATAACAATAACAATAACAATAATAATAATAATAATAATATAATAATAATAATAATAATAATAATAATAATAATAATAATAATAATAATAGCATTTGTACATTTCTACAACAACAACAACGACAACAACAACAACAACAACAACAACAACAACAATAATAATAATAATAATTTAAAAATAATAATAACAATAAATAATAATAATAATAATAATAGTAATAATTTAATAATAACAATAACAATAATAATAATAATATGAATATGAATATAATAATAATAATAATAATAATAATAATTTAATGCTAATAATAATAATAATAATAATAATAATAATTTAATGCTAATAATAATAATAACAACAATAACAATAATAATAACAATAATAACTTTAAATAATAGTAATAATAATAAGAATTTAATAATAACTATAAATAATATAAATAATAATAATAATAATAATAATAAATTTGAAGAAGAGAATACGAAAGAAGGAAAATAATGGAATATGATGCAAATAAGAAGCATATGAAAGAAGAAGCAATGGCAACAATGAGATTCTAACCTAGGCAGCTAGGTGTAAGGGCACTGTTCACCTGTGTATTACCATTTCTCTATTTGGAGATATTGAATTTTTTTTTTTTCTCCAAATTCCTTAAGAAAGATGGAGAAAGGAGATGGAAATAAGATTTGGAGAAAGAACTTTAGTAAACAACTTTTTCATTTTTCATTTTTTTACCTCTCCAATTTTATTTTATTTTTTTTGAAAAATTCTCCATTTATCCATTTTGGTAAACAACCCCTAAAAGTTTTGTATTTGTATTCGCAATAAATATGAACTATGGTCCATGGTATAACAATGGAGAGAAAGAGATTTAATTATAAATGGATCACTTTGGGCTGAGCGTGGAGGAGCCTTACAGCCCAAGCCCAATCAATAGGCAAATTATGCTGTGCATCTGTATGCACCATGCATGGTGCATACGGATGCAAAAACGACGTCGTTTTATTAAAAACGCGCGTCTCCCCATAAAAAAAAATTCAGGTTCGATTCCCAGCAACAACATATGAACTAAAATTTCAGAATCGATGAACTATAATTCCAGAATCTATGAACTAAAATTCCAGAATTTAATCTATGAACTAAAAATTCCAGAATGAATGAACTAAAATTCCAGAATCTATGAACTAAAATTTCAGAATCGATGAACTACAATTCCAGAATCGATGAACTATAATTCCAGAATCTATGAACTAAAATTCCATAATGAATGAACAACATAATGCTGTTGCTGGGAATTGAACTTGAATTATTTTTTTAAAAGAAAAACACCCATTTTTTAATAAAATGATGTCATTTTTGCATTCATACGCACTATACGTATGCATAGCATAACTACTCCAATCAATAACTCAGTCCGAATTCAGTTACGATATATACGGATGACATTATCAGCATCAATAAACCCTAGGCCTCAAGCTCAGCTTCCAAATTACGCATCTCCTGTATATATATAGCCGCACGCTATGCCGCTTATTCTTGCAACTTCGCCTCCGTGAGTTATTGCCTAGCGTATATTTATCTGTATATGAAAACTTCTTATAATTTCTTCATCAATTTGTGTATATTTCTGGTAATTTATCGAATTGCCCGATGATGGAAATCTATATCAATTGAGCGGCCTGGTGTCTCTGTGTTCATCATTTGCCCTTCAGCATTGTAAGCGGTTGCCAGTACCATCACTTCTCCTTCTCTCCTTTCATCTTCAATATTCATCTATCCACACACATTTGCACACACTTCACCCTGGCTGCTCTTACAGTGTTGAAAAAGGCTTTTGATGAACGGCATCAGTATTCAGCCGTCTGTGATTTGTATAAGCTATGAGATCTGAGGGCATTTTTTGTTAATCTATGGTTTCTTTCTAGTATTTGGGTTGATTATTTTTTATCTTTTGTTCCCGACTGTTGTAGAAGTTTTTATTTGAGGAATTATTTTTGAATATTTTGATTTTTTGATTGTGTTTGGAATTGATCCTTGTGTGGTATGCATAAAATAATATTGAAATATGATTTCAATTATGTTTTGAATGGTGATTTTCATATTTTTGAGATGCTTTAATTACTATTGGGATTAACATGTTCTTATTTTGGTAAGGCATTGCTTTATTGTATTTCTAAGAGTTAGCAGTCGAAAGTTCGTTGTTTTGGATGTAATCATTTCTATATCTGATCACATCTATAACAATGCTTATGTTATATTTGTGTTTCAAGTCATCTTAACTACACAAACCAAAACAATTTATTAAAAAATATTTTTTTTGTTTAATTAATTGAGTATATTGTTATTCAATTTCTTTTGTTGTCAATCTTAATTATTTGTATACTCTAATATGACGTTAAAGAAACTATTAGTTCTCACTCTAAACCAAAACATGTATCAATTGCACTCCACTTTATTTTTAGAGTTTGTTTTTAGTGAAATCATTTACCATCCTAGCTTTGAGTCATGACCTAAATTTTGATAGGAAATTCATAGAGGATGATAATAAATGATTCATTGAGGAGTATTTGATTATTTGGTCACTCTTTTTAATTTGAAGGAGAGATAAAACTAGGAGTCAATTATACAAGTAAGAAGAGGGAGAAATGAATTTTGTGGTTCATCCACAACACCAATTTAGAAATGAAGTTTTCATAAACATTGTATCATTGGATGAACATAAATCTCAGATTTCATTTTTATGGATATTGCTGCTCCACATTTCTTTTATATTAGACTCCAACAAGTACAAAAGGATCCCATAAATCCAGGCAACAATGTAATAACATCAAAGATTAGCATAATAGATACTATTTGATGCAGTCCATAAATAGTATCAGTAAATGTTTATTTATAATTTAACTGACTTTGCTATTTGATGCAGTCCATAAATAAACACAGATTTGAGATTCCCAATTCACCAGACTCAGGTAGAAGTCATCTTGAAGAGCTGGTGCATCCAAAACTTGCAATTATAATGCGAGAGTGAGCATCAGAGTTCCTTTGTAGATCACCATTGGAGCAAGTCATATAGTTTTAAAAGCTCTTAAACCACGAATTTCTAGCTTATTGCTATAGTTCTCTCATTCACCAGGAAAACTAAGAAAATTGTATTAATAAGAATTAGGGAATTTGTTTTGTTTTTAAAGTTTCAGAGTAATAAGTGAGGAGGGAATTGTATTAAGAAGAATAGAGAATATGGTTTTTGTTTTGTTTTGTTTTTAAAGTTTCAAGAGTAATAAGAGAAGAGAGGCATTGGATGTTTTTTTCCCCAAGTGTATATTATAATTGTCTAAGAAAAAACGAAACACAGACAAAGACAATGGATTTTTAAAATTACTGTAAAAAAAGTGTTGTGTAAATAGTTTTATTATACGTATTTAATATTATTTTTTTTAAAAAAGGATTATATTATATCTTAGACTTTGGTTCCTTGTGGAACTGACACCGAAAGTTATGTATTTTTTAAATAATAATAATAATAATATTATAGTAGTAACAATATGTCTAGGAAAAAAAAAACCTAACAATATGTCAAGTTACTTAACTTTAGAAAAAAAAAACAAGGAACCAAAGTTGAAAGGTATGTATTTTTTAAAATAATAATAATAATAATAATAAACATTAGATTCATACAAGAATCTCCAACAATTCATCTTGGCTGTTCAGAGTCCGGGATTGTGATGGTGAATTGCAGTGCAATTAGATTGGGGATGTGTGGCATAGGAAAACTATATGATATAGGTAAATTTATTTTATTTTATCAAAAGATTTATTAGGCTTTGAAGGGGATAACTTTCATTTAATTGTTTTGACATTTTTTTAATAGATACAATGGAAGGAGAAACTAAAAGCTAAAAATTAAAGCTTCAACTATAGTGTTTTTTTGATTTAATCTTTAATGACTTTTTATACTTAATTAGGTCATCGACTTCGATACTTTTACCTAATTGAATCATTAACTGTTAGAATCAATGACTAAATTAAGAAAAACCACTATAGTCGAAGACTAATTTGAGTAAAACTACTATAATCAATGACTAAATTGAGTATTAATAGAGTTGAAATTACAAGCTTCAATTGAATAAAATCATGAAAGTTGATGACCTAATTAAGCACAAAAAGTTTTTTAGAACTAAATACAGAAAAAAACATACACAAAAAAAAAACACTATAGTCAGTGATTAAATTGGGTATTAACACAAATTAATAATCATTGCTAACTTGTGGTATACTTTATAATTTTTTATTAATATCCAAGAACATGGGTTCAACGAGCATATGTATATAAAGGAGGGTTCAAATGAGGGAAAGCATTTTTCAATTAAAATTTACACGATAATACTCTAAACAAGTGTTTCTTAGCGGAAACTGTCCAAGAGCATGAAAGTTCACCAAAAATGGACATTGATTTGCAATCTTGTGCTCGTTCAGTCAAAAGCATCAACACCCCCAACTCCCTTTTACATGGAAAGATGTTCCACCTTCTTTTCCTAAAAAGGGGCGTTCTAAATCCTGCTCTCACCATAGCTAACCGCTTAATCCAGATGTATGCAAGGTGCGGGCAAATTTCTGATGCCCGGAAGCTGTTCGATGAAATGCCCGAGAGAAACTACTTCACCTGGAACACCCTACTTGAAGGGTACATGAAATGCGGGATGATAAGTGACTCGCTGCGGTTGTTTTCTATTATGCCCCAAAAGAATGATTTTTCTTGGAATGTCGCCATCTTGGGGCTCGTAAATGCTGGGGAGTTAGACACTGCTCGGCGCCTTTCATATGAGATGCCGAGGAAGAATGCTATCGCTTGGAATGCTTTGATCAATGGGTTTGCACGGACTGGATTTCTTGGTTTTGCTTTGCGGTTGTTTAGGGAGTTTTCTTGTTTCGGTGCGTCTATAACAGGTGAGAAGTCATGCATTGATCCCTTTGTTTTGACTACGGTTGTTAAGGCTTGTATGAATTTAGGAAGTCTCCGTTTGGGGAAGCAGATTCATGCTCACATTATAGTTGATCAAGTGGAAATTGATTCTACATTGGCTAGTTCACTGGTTAACATGTATGGGAAAGGTGGTGATCTGGAAAGTGCTCACCATATTCTGAGTAGAATGCTGATTCCTGATGATTTTTCCTTGTCAGCTATGATCTTAGCATATGCAAATTGTGGTAGAATGAAGGATGCGAGACAAATTTTTGATGTTAAAACTGATCCCTGTGTTGTATTGTGGAATTCAATGATAACAGGATATGTGTCAAATGGTGATGCTTCAGAGGCATTTTTTATGTTTGATGAGATGCACAAGGCAGGAATTACAGGGGACTCCTCAACTTTGGTTAGTGTTTTAAGTGTCTGCAGTAGTGCACAGATTGTCGAGAATTGTCAGCTAGTACATGCTTTTGCTTGCAAGCTCGGATTAGTAGATGATCTCATAGTTGCTAGTGCTTTAATTGACACATATGCGAAGTGTGGATATTCATGCGATGCTTGCAAAATTTTCGGTGAGCTTAAAATGCATGATACTATTTTATTGAATTCTATGATTACCATTTATTGCAGTTGCGGCAGAGTGGAAGATGCCAAGTGGATTTTTGAGTCCATGCCACATAAAAGCTTGATATCTTGGAATGCAATAATTGGTGGTTTGTGTCAAAATGGCTTACCAATAGAAGCCCTGGATATTTTCTGCAAAATGAATAAGATGGATATAAGGATGGATAGGTTTAGTTGTGCAAGCATGATTAGCTCATGTGCCAGCATCTCCTCACTCGATCTTGGTGAACAGTTTTTTGCAAGAGCTATCATCATAGGGATTGATTTTGATCAGATTGTTTCTACCTCCATACTCGATCTTTATTGCAAGTGTGGCTTAGTAAAACAAGCTAGGAAGATATTCGACCAAATAGTGGAACCTGATGAGGCTTCATGGAATTCTATGTTGATGGGTTATGCTACAAATGGCTATGGAACAGAAGCATTGAACTTATTCTCTGAAATGAGATGTGCTGGTGTGTTGCCCACGAATATCACATTCACAGGAGTCTTGTCCGCTTGTAATCACTGTGGACTACTAGAAGAAGGAAAAAAGTGGTTTAATGCGATGAGACATGACTATCATACTGATCCGGGCATTGAACACTACTCATGCATGGTAGATCTTTATGTACGAGCAGGGTGCCTCGAGGAGGCGATGAATATCACTCTGACAATGCCTTTCGAAGCAGATGCAAGCATATGGTCATCAATTTTGAGAGGATGTGTAGCTCAGGGTAATGAAATCCTGGGAAAGCAAGTGGCTAAGAGAATTACAGAGCTTGATCCTGAGAATTCGAGTGCTTTTGCACAATTGTCAAGTATATATGCAACTTCTGGGAAATGGGAAAGATCAGCTTTGGTTTTGAATTTGATGAAAGAAAAGGGAGTTCATAAAATTCCTGGACAAAGTCGGAGAGATACTTGGATTTGACTTTGCCCCAACATCCGACTGTTAAGATTTTCTGAATAATCCTTTGAGACATATATAAAGCTTGTTGGGGAAAATTGGGTGTTATGGTATTATTATGACAACAGGATTTCTATACATATTGCTCATTACTACAAATATGGTTAGTCTAATCATGAGACTATATGGAGTTGTTGGTCTTATTGGGGTGGAACTCGAACCTGAAACCTTCCTTATGAAAAGCAATATGATGCCATTGAATCACAAGGTACTTGACAAGGGAATTAATTTTATTAAATAAATTGAAAAATGATTTGGTGCTGGAATATTACAGTAGTGATGCTGAATGTGTATGTATGAATAATGATTTGTGTAGGAGGCTTAGTTAAGGCTTAAGGATAAGTTTTATCCTGTATATTTAATTGCTAAATTTTGAAATTCTTATTCACAGAAACTCTATGGTTTAAAATATCACTAAACCCATCAAGCGAAGCATCTCCTAAATCTTCATCATGAATCCAGGTACACTTCTGCACTCTAATTTGTTACTCAATTGCTAAATAGTTCTCAGATGTAATCATGTGTTGACAGAGGTTGGGAATTCCCCACCCCAGCTTGGTGTGTTTGGGTTCTTCACTTGCCTTTTGGCATCATTGGAAGAAAGAGATGCCCTTACATCCTCCTAGGGATGTAAATGAGCCGAGCTGCTCGATCAAAGCTCGACTCGAGCTCGGTCAAAATCTAATTGAACTGAATTCGAACGCTCGTTTAATAATCGAGTTCGAGCCGAACCTAGATATTCTAGGCTCGTGACTCTTCGAGCCATATAATATATAATATATATAATATCTAATATAATATAATATAATTATATTATAATATATAAAAATAACAATTAGAAAAAAATTTTAAACTCAAAATCCCTAAAACATTTTTAATCTTCCAAAGCGCAAAACAAGACTAGTGGTGTAAACGAGTGGATCGATCTTGAGCTCAAGTTCGAGCTTGATCTTGAGCTCAAGTTCGAGGTTGATCTTGAGCTCGAATTCGAGCTTGAGTTCAGGCTCGGATTCAAGCTCGAGTTCTAGCTCGAATTTGATCTATTTGATTTAAAATTCATGTTTCAATTAAAAATAAACTACTTTGTTTTATCCATACACAAATAATAAAAACTTCAAATCAAAGCACTCAAAATAAGTTCACAAGTCACAACTTCACATCAAAATACAAGTCAACAACAGCGGTCCTTGATTCCTTGTACATATATATTTCTTCTGGGATAAGCAGTTCAAAACAAGAAATATCTGTTCAACTTGCAAAAAAATATGAATAATATTAGATAACAAATGAAAGTAATTAAAAATAGTCAGACAAGTGTGTTACTTAGTAACTTACTTTCATGAATTGGATGCCGGAAGAAATATTTGTTGGAATTATTTCTCTTTTTGAACAAAAAAAAGATAAATAAGTATACAATTAAACAAATATTTTAAAAAGATAATGTATCATTTAGCATAAAAGTTAACTTACTGTATTTTTGGTAACACGATGTATATGTCGAAGCCAATCACACAAAGTAAAGCTTGTGCTGTTTCAGGCAACAATGATGTACGATACGAATCAATTACCCTTGCCCCAGCACTAAATGTTGCTTCGGAAGCCACAGTGCTAACAGATATAGCTAAAATGTCTGCTGCCATTCTTGACAATATTGGATACTGCAGTGTATTCATCTTCCACTAGTCACCAGTCTAAACAACAAAAGTTGTTAGGAATCTCAGTAGTCTTAAGACGTCCTTTTTCTAGATAGTCTACTAACTCCGAGTTTTTAGGCCCTGAAGTTTCAACTTGTGCACAAAATCTCTCAAAATCTTTCCAAGCATATGTAGACTTTTCGCGGCTGACTTGCTTCCAAAAGTGTTTGAAGAACATAATTTCAGAATTTTCTTTGTTCATTGATTCAGCAACATACTCTTCATAAAGAGTATTGATGATCTCCTTCACTTTTGCTATATTCTCCTTAACTTCCTGATGAGAATAAGTCTAGGGAAACATAATTCAACTGCAAGCATTTTTTTTGTTGGATCAAAGACCTATGACCATTAACAAATTGCGCTCACCCCAATATTTATCAAACTTCTTCTTCATTCTCTTAACCAAATTCCTAATAAAGTCATCTTCATGATCTACATGACTATCCATTGTTGATTTGATTTTTTGAACTTCTTGAAGAAACAAATTTGAAGTAGGGTATTCAGAACCTTAAATAAATTTGAATTTAGATAATCACAAGTCACAATCTTAACCAAATTTTAAAAAAAAAATTAAAAGAAACAAACCTGAAATAATGTGAGTAGATGTCCAGAAAGCCTCTAAAATTGAGCAAATTTTGGCAACCTTGTCCTAATCATCTTCCAATAGACAACTATCAAAAAATGGATCACCATCTTTTTGCATCTTAAAAGCTTCTTTGAACTTGAGTGCACAACTTAACATTTCAAAAGTTGAGTTCCATCTGGTTTTACAATCACGAATCAATTTCCTATCTTTCAATTGCAATTGTTGCACACAAGTAGCAAATTCTATACGTCTTGATTTTTACCAGTTCACATATTCCACACTATCTCTAACATCACTAATGATGCGTTGAATCTCATCTAATCCATCTTGAACACACAAGTTCAAGATGTGTGCACAAATGTCCCTCACATACCAAACTTCTTTGACCTTTGGAATGTATCCTTCATGTATCGAATAACATAATTTTTACTTGAAGCATTATCAATTGTAACTGTAAAAACTCTATTTTCAATGCCCCACTCTTTCATGCATCCAAATATAGCATCAGAAAGCTGAAGACCTCCCTTCGGTGGTGGAATGTTAATGAAGCTCAAAACTCTCTTTTGCAACCTCCAAGAAGAATCAATCCAGTGACAACTATATACTCAATCTTTTGATTTTTTGATTTCCAACAATCTGTTGTCAAACTTACTTTACTAACACTTTCAAGATTGTTCTTTAACTTCTTCTTTTCATTCTCATAAACCTTCCAACAATTTGATTTGCTTGTATTTCTACTAATTTTTTTTTCCACCCGGGCCATCCTTGTTTCATCATTAGGTTAAATCCAACTTCCTCCAAAATGGTAAACAAATGTTCATTCATCATGATCCAATTAGCAGCAAACTCCCTCATTCATTTGGATCCTGATAAATGAACATCCGTTTACCATTTTGGAAGATGTATGATTTAACCTAATGATGAAACAAGAATGGCCCAAGTGGAAAAAAATTTGTAGAAATACAAACACATCAGATTGTTTAAAGGTTTATGATATTGAAAAGAAAATTTTGAAGAACAATCTTGAAAGTGTTAGTAAAGTAAGTTTGACAATAGATTGTTGGAAATAAAAAAAATCAGAAGATTGAGTATATGGTTGTTACTGGATTGATTCTTCTTGGAGGTTGCAGAAGAGAGTTTTAAGCTTCATTAACATTCCACCACCGAAGGGAGGTCTTCAGCTTTCTGATGCTATATTTGGATGCATGAAAGAGTGGGGCATTGAAAATAGAGTTTTTACAGTTACAATTGATAATGCTTCAAGTAAAAATTATGCTATTCGATACATGAAGGATACACTCCAAAGGTCAAAGAAGTTTGGTATGTGAGGGACATTTGTGCACACATCTTGAACTTGTGTGTTCAAGATGGATTAGATGAGATTCAACACATCATTAGTGATGTTAGAGATAGTGTGGAATATGTGAACTGGTAAAAATCAAGACGTATAGAATTTGCTACTTGTGTGCAACAATTGCAATTGAAAGATAGGAAATTGATTCGTGATTGTAAAACCAGATGGAACTCAACTTTTGAAATGTTGAGTTGTGCACTCAAGTTCAAAGAAGCTTTTAAGATGCAAAAAGATCGTGATCCATTCTTTGACAGTTGTCCATTGGAAGATGATTAGGACAAGGTTGTCAAAATTTGCTCAATTTTAGAGGCTTTCTGGACATCTACTCACATTATTTCAGGTTTGTTTCTTTTAATTTATTTTTTTGTTTAAATTTGGTTAAGGTTGTGACTTGTGATTATCTAATTTCAAATTTATTTGAGGTTCTGAGTACCCTACTTCAAATTTGTTTTTCAAGAAGTTCAAAAAATCAAATCAACATTGGATAGTCATGTAGATGATGAAGATGACTTTATTAGGAATTTGGTTAAGAGAATGAAGAAGAAGTCTGATAAATATTTTGGGGTGAACGCAATTTGTTGATGGCTATAGGTGCTATCTTTGATCCAACAAAGAAAATGCTTACAGTAAAATTCTGTTTCCCTAGATATTATTCTGATTAGGAAGCTAAGGAGAATATAGCAAAAGTGAAGGAGATTTTATGAAGAGTATGATGCTGAATCAATGAACAAAGAAAATTCTAAAAATCCAGGTTCTTCTAACACTTTTGGAAGCCAAGTCAGCCACAAAAAAGTCTACATATGCTTGGGAAGATTTTGAGGAATTTTGTGCACAAGTTGAAATTTCAGGGTCTAAAAGCTCGGAGCTAGTAGACTATCTTGAAAAAGGACGTAGACTACTGAGGTTCCTAGCAACTTTTGTTGTTTAGACTGGTGGAAGATGAATAGAATGCAGTATCCAATATTATCAAGAATGACAGCAGATATTTAGATATATCTGTTAGCACTGTGGCTTCAGAAGCAACATTTAGTGCTGGGACAAGGGTAATTGATTCATATCGTGCATCATTGTTGCCTGAAACAACACAAGATTTACTTTATGCTAAATGATACACTATCTTTTTAAAACATTTGTTTAATTGTATAGTTATTTATTTATTTATTTTTCAGTAGTTACTAAGTAACATACTTGTCTGATTATTTTTAATTACTTTAATTTGTTATCAAATATTATTCATTTTTTGCAAGTTGAATAGATATTTCTTGTTTTGAACTGCTTATCCCGGAAGAAATATCTATGTACAAGGAATCAAGGATCACTGTTGTTGACTTGTATTTTGATGTGAAGTTGTGACTTGTGAACTTATTTTGAGTGCTTTGAAGTTTGAACAATGAACAATGTTGTTGACTTGTGTCTTGTAGTTTGTTGCAAACTTATTTTGAGTGCTTTGATTTGAAGTTTTTATTATTTATGTATGGATAAAATAAAGTAATTTATTTTTAATTGAAACATGAATTTTAAATCAAACATGTTAAATTCGAGCTAGAACTCGAGCTCGAGCTCGAACAGTCGAGCTTCTCAACCGAACTAGGGTTCGAGCACCAGTCTTTCAGTTCTTGAACTCGAGCTCGGCTCGACTCGTTTACACCACCACCACCACCAGTTCTCCTTCGCCTTCACACCTCTAATATTCAGCTATTCACACACACACACACTTCACCTTGGTTGTTCTTTACAGTGTTGAAAAAGGCTTTTGATGAACTACACCATCTGTCTGTGATTTGTAGAAGTTATGAGATTTGAGGGCAATTTTTATAATTTTTTTAAATTGGTTTCTTTAAAGTATATAGGTTGGTTATTTGTTAATCTTTTTATGCTTATTGTTTATTTGCATGATTATTTTTATAAGTTTTGGACACAAATCAGTCTTCCCCAATTGTCTGTCGGTCATGCTTGAATGTGCGAACAAGAATGGTTCAACTCTTCTGTACGTGATTCATGCAACTTACAAGGTGCTACATTCAAGGGTTAAAAGGCTATATATTGGATTAAGGGTCTAATGGCTATATATTGTATTATTGGGACAATGTAAGATGAAGACAATCGAAGTTTCATAAATCATTGTTTCACATAATGCAACCTACAACGAAATTAGGCAAAAAAACTTCAAAGGTCAAATAAGAGTATTATATGGAGTAGCAGGTCCATATCCAACTAGTACAAACATTACTGAGAAATGACCGTGTTGGTGACAAGTTGTGTAGTTTGGAGGATTAGCTCAAACTATACTGTCTATACGTCAACCTACAACGAAATTAGGCAAAAAACTTCAAAGGTCAAATAAGAGTATTATATGGAGTAGCAGGTCCATATCCAACTAGTACAAACATTACTGAGAAATGACCGTGTTGGTGACAATTTGTGTAGTTTGGAGGATTAGCTCAAACTATACTGTCTATACGTCTCTAATTTTTCAGAAAGTTGTTACTCTTAGTGCTATATGTTGGAAAAAAATAGCATAAATTGGTATAAAATTACATTTTAAGTAGCTATTTTTGTGGTACAAATATTAGTTATGTCCACTTCTGATTTGGGTCGGGTCAAAGTGGATTCGGATTTTTCGTAGTGAGACGAAGAGATTGATATATTGTACGCTCAAAACGGATGATGGGTGAATGAGATATTGATTCTCAAAGTAGATCCATTTGAGTTGGAAAATGAAGGGAAAAAGTGTAGCTTTTGTCCCACATTGGTTTGGGAAGTAGGCTTGTACCACTATTTATACAAGAGCTCTTTTAAGACTTATTGAATTGTATAGCATAGAGGCTTTCTCTTGCGCATAGGTGGTTCAAATCTCCAAATGAAGGTTTTTGACCTGAATTAAAAAAATGCTATTTACACCACCTTCTTCTATATAAGTAGTAGTACTAGCAGAATTTTTCACAAGAAGAACACACATAACAAAATAATATTTCAGCTGCAAAATCTCTGCTTCTACTCATTTCTTAACCTTTGTTCTAGTTCGCCGGATCTCTGTTTGGGTGCTCAAACACTGAATTGTAGCACGTTTTATCCTAGGAAACCTAGGCTACAACGCTCCTCGCACTTGTAAGAGGTAGCAAATAAGGTTTTAATGAAAGAGTGGTCGCTTACTCGTGCTAAAAACCTACACAAAACACGAGCCATATTTCTTCACCATTTCCTACTCTTTTCTTCCATAAAATAATGATCTTTCTGTAAGATTATTATTTGGATTTTACCAACAGATATCCAACACTATAAACTAACTGTAATAGCACCAAGAATAGCAACTCAAAATTTTCACACTTTACCAGATTCAATAAATTTCAAAATTAAGGCTGACACCTATTTAAATAGGAATCACGTAATAACAACTTTATGAAAATGTAAAGACGTACAATTTGAGCTAATCTTCTAGATTATACAAAGTATCACTGGCCTTTTTTCTCAATAATGTCTGTACTAGTCGGATATGGAGTTGCTACTCCAAATCTGAGATGCCCATTGAAATTTCTTGTGCTTGAGGCTATTTATATTTGGAGCTAGAGGCGGATAGAAGTCCCGGAACAATGCACGCTTTTTGGCCATCAACCATATGTTTGTATAAGCAACATAGTTTATTGGCTGACAAACCGTGACTCAATTTTGACTTTCAACTCGGCAACTAAAACACACTCGAAGTTATTGGCAACAACATCAACGTTTAAAGACGACAAAAGCTACCAGAACAAACGAATTATGGAGTACAAGGGAAAACTAGGATTTACATGTCGGATGACCTATCGCTTTGGGTGCTAGAAGACATAAGAGATTACAATTGGGAAGTAAAAAGGGTCGTGAGAATCGTTAAGGAGAATAATAGGTTAATCGGTTGTAGACTTGTAGTTTTGTGGACATGGCGTTGATGACGGGGTATAGGCATCGATTGTATTAATTAAGAGAGTGGTTTTCGTTAGCCTATGAATATTTTTCCATTCCGGTCGGATTGGGAACCAGTTAACTGGAGAATGGAAGAAATGAGTAACTAGCAAGCTTCTAATAATTAGAGGGTGTTTGTTCTTTCATGCTTTTCGATATGCATTTTAATTTCTTGAGTCACACTTGTGTGAAACTGTCTCACAAATCTTAATCTGTGAGACATATTAAATCTAGGATAGTTGTTTGTTAATTATTGTTTCGACCCTAAATAGGACTGTAACAGATAGGAAACCTTTCGAGCAGACTTCTGACTTCTCTTGTATTCGAGTCACGGTAAACTCCGAATTCACACTTCGAGTGTGTGAGGGCTCCAAGAAAAATAACTAAAAGAGTATAATAACGTAAACATGAACACTATATTTGTTAGTTTGTGGTTCTTAATTATTATAAAAGTGGCAATTTTTCCCCCTGATATATTAAATAGACATTTCTACCCTTAAAATAAATACTTTATTTATTTTTCTTCTTCAACAAATTATTGCTTATACGTTTGGATGATCACGATTCGGTTCGAATTGAACCGGATACTATTATGATTCTCACATATAAGTATATATATAACCGTGATTTAATTTTGATTTTGAACCGTCGGCAGCTGCTCATCGTGTATTAAGATACATCAAAGGGGAACCGGGTCAAGGATTATTCTATTCTACACAAATAGATTTCCATCTCAAAGCCTTCTCAGATTCGGATTGGGCAGCATGCACAGAAACACACAAGTCTGTTACCAGTTATTGCATCTTCTTTGGTGCTTCCCTCATATCATGGCGGTCGAAGAAGCAAGCTACTGTATCTCGTTCTAGTTCCGAAGCTGAATACCGGGCACTTGCAACCACGGTATGCGAAATCCAATGGCTTGAATACTTGCTTCATGATCTGAACGTCACAACCATGAAGCCAGCTACCCTATTTTATGACAGCAGGTCTGTTGTGGCCATTGCTGAAAATAGTGTCTTCCACGAATGCAACAAACATATAGAACTTGACTACCATGTAGTTCGTGAGAAGATAATTCAAGGCGTGATAAAGCTCCTATCTGTATTTTCAGAAAACCAAATAGCGGATAGATTCACAATGCCTCTTTCCACGTCTCTATTTCGAGGTTTCATAGTTAAGCTTGGCACTCACGACATGTATGCGCTAGTTTGCGCGCGCGCGGGGGTGGGGGGTGGGTATTGGAGAAGGCACACATACAATTGGGTGAATTAGTGAAGTGAGGGTACTTTTGTAATTAGATTGTATAAGAGTTACAACCGTTTTTTGCCATCTTCCATCCTTTGTACATATACGCTGCATTCTTCTTCTGTTACATTCAATGAAACAGTTTCTATTTTCTCCCTTCCTGATGCAGGACAAGGGGAACAAGAAGAACACACACAATATAACTCAAACTCAAAGACTTTCAATTATATTTAATACAAAAGTCTGTTTAAATAGACAATTAAGAAAAAACTGAAGAGTTGCAAATATTAAAAACATGGGAACTATAAAATAAACATAATGAGAATTGGAAATACTAATAATATTTAATGCTAATTCAAATTTCCCATAAAAAGTAGCCACCAAACTCCATATCCCTTGAACTTCATGCATGTGGCCATTGTTTTATTATTTTCTCAATTCTTGTTCTGCATCATTCTCCCTTGATTGCGAAGGACTCGCCCCGAGTCCTCAAAATATAATGTTACCTCATAAGAGTAATTGAGTGCCTTCAATTTTTTTTTTTCGAACCTTAAAATAGCCATACCTCTTAGCACTCAATTTGTGAAATGTCTTTGTAAGCACAGGATCCTTATGAATAAAGACCATAATCTTCTCACCATTTCTACAAGTTTTCTTACGCTGCCTTTTATTAGCTCGGGCTTTATACCTTACTTCGGTAGCATCAATTTTAGCCATAACTTCATCCGGAGCTTTAGCAACACCCCTTGTTATATTTTCAGATCTTATATTTCCATAATACTTTTGCAGCAGCGGGATAAAGTTTGGTTGTTTCTGATAAGCAGTCAGATCTATGATCACTAATTTCTTAGTGTCCTCATAAATTTGATAGAATGCTTTGAAAATGCTCTTAAGTTGGAGGGATCTATTTTCTTCGTTAGTGTACATTAAACTTTTCACCACACAACTCAAATATGCATCATCTTCCTTAGCAATCTCAAATTCATCTTTGCAATCATCTTCTCTCTCCTTGATATTATCATCCTCAGGATCAAAGGATCTTTGAGCCCAACCTTCATCTGAATAGTAGTCAGGTCCTTTTCTCTTCAAACATTTCTTAGTCCCCGGCCTCTTGTGTGAGTGGAGGAGATTGAAATTGATGAAAGTGAGCAGTGTTGTTTTCATGCATAGGTTGGCTGTTAACCTCAACAAGTGCTCTTGTAGGGGGAAGGGAGAGTTTATTTGGAATAACTTCAGTCAACAGATTTTCAGCTTGAAAGTTCATATTAAGAGCTTTACCTGGTGTCCATAATGGAGATACTGACATTATTAGTTGTTCTTGAACCTTGACGGCAGTCTGTGGCTTGAAAGTTTCTTGAAGATAATTGTGACTTGTTGGAATTTCACATGCTCTCATCCATAACATGTCCTCTGCATATTTATTAACATTACAATATTTTTGAAAGAAATGCATTTGGTAATCCTGAGGCAAAAACTGTTCCATCAAAAGTTTTCTCATTTTTCTCCATGTTTTCACTGAGCATTTACCTTGTATTTTTCCGTAGTTCTAAATAGTCTCCCACCATGACAGAGCTCTTCCACGCAGCATACTGGCAATATATTTTGCTTGCTTATTTTCAGGAACTTCTGACATATTAAGGTAGCTATCAACTTCTGAACACCAATCTAAGAAGGCTTCTGTGCCCAAATAGCCATTAAAAGTTGGTAGCCGATGGTATTGGAGATGTTGCCAACTTCTAGCCACATGCTTTATTGGCAGATTCATGTCATTGATAACACATGGGGTTGCACCACTAACCTCTAACCGAAGGCTTATGTTCGTGAGAATGCTACGAATTTCTTGAAACTCGCGATTCACATTCTCACCGTGTACTTGAAAAGCTGTCCGAAGGCAATCCATTTCACGGTCACCGCTGAAGGATGGGTTATTACCCTTGTTGTTGATACCGCCTTGTGCCATCT